GACGGTGATGGTGGTGGTGATGGTGGTGATGGTGATGGTGATGATGGGCAGAGGGTGCAGCAGGGGGGTGGGGACTTGGAGATGGGAGATCACCCGTGGGTGGCTGGCCCGAAGCCCGGTCTGGAGCCGGGGCGGTCAGGCCGCTAACGGCTGGGCTGAGGCTCTGGCATGTCTTGTCTCACCCTGCCTTCCCTGTCTCTCTCCTGGTCTCCGTGGGCCATGCTGTCCCCGTGCTGTCCCCGTGCCGTGCGGCCTCAGGACTACGTGCAGGCCCTGACGGGCTTCTGTTACGACGGCGTTGAGGGCCTCATCTACCTGGCCCTCTTCTCCTTCGTCACGGCCCTCATGTTCAGCTCCATCGTCTGCAGCGTCCCCCATACCTGGCAGCAGAAAAGGTGAGGGGCTCAGAGCTCACCTCAGGCCACACCTCAGGCAGGATGTTCTGGGGACATGCCTTCTGGACACCCATACCCTCGTCCCCAGAGACAGGAGCAAATGCTTCCTCACCTCCTGACGCTCTCTGTAAGCCTCTGCGGTGCTTGGAGGCTGGCGAGTCCAGGGTGAGCAGCCCCATTTCACAGATGGAAAACAAGTCTACAGGAGCTCCAAGCCCAGGTGACATGCGAGGCCAGAGCAGGGAGGTGGAGCCAGGTCTCCCGGCCACCAGCTCGGGCTCCATGCACCACGCCCTTCCACACCTCTGGCTGGCCTCGGGATGTCTCCTCCGTCTCTCTGCCCCTCAGTGCACATGTGCGGGGCTTGTGCATGGAAAGAGCAGCTGTCCAGCTGTGGGGACTGGGAGCTTCTGCAGGGATAGAGGGCCCCAGGTGGCTGTGGCCTCCATGGCCCATTCAGCTGGGTGACCGGGATGGCAGCTACTACTTCCCATGGGGCTGTTAGGTCCTTATCTTTGAAGTGGGGGTCCTGGCAGCTCCTTCCTCAGTCTCCCTGATCAGTACTGGGTTGAGTGGTGTATTTAGGAGCCAAGCCCCTTCCCTTGCTTGGGCCCTTACACTTCATCTCCCAGACTCACCACCTCCCCTCCCATTGGGCTGTGGCTGCACCTTGGTTGCCCAGATCAGCTGACAGGTAGCTCAGCTCAGATTTCTTCCCTCTGTCTGGATTTCTGCTCTATTGTTTTCTGTGGTAATGCTGCCAGTGGTGGTGATGGTGATGGTGGTGATGGTGATGGTGGTGGTGGTGGTGGTGGTGGTGATGATGGTGGTGGTGATGGTGGTGACGGTGATGGTGGTGGTGATGGTGGTGATGGTGGTGGAGATGATGGTGGTGGTGATGGTGGTGGTGACGGTGATGGTGGTGGTGATGGTGGTGATGGTGGTGGAGATGATGGTGGTGGTGATGGTGGTGACGGTGATGGTGGTGGTGATGATGGTGATAGTGATGATGGTGACGGTGATGGTGGTGGTGATGGTGGTGATGGTGGTGATGGTGATGGTGATGATGATGATGGTGGTGATGGTGATGATGATGATGATGGTGGTGATGGTGATGGTGGTGATGGTGGTGGTGATGATGGTGATGGTGATGGTGGTGACGGTGATGGTGATGGTGATGGTGGTGATGATGGTGGTGACGGTGATGGTGGTGGTGATGGTGGTGATGGTGGTGGTGATGGTGGTGGTCACAATGATGGTGGTGATGATGGTGACGGTGGCAGTGGTAATAAAGATGGCTGTTATAGGGAAGTGGCCAAGAGGATAGACCTAGAACCGTGTGGCCTGGATTTCAGATTTTTGTTTATTGGGTGACCATGGGCAAGTCACTGAATCACTCTGGGCCTCCATTTCCCTAACTGTGAAATGGGGGTTGTAAGAGCACACCCCTCTTGGGGTCGGGTAGGCACTAGGTGAACCATTGCGTGTAAGGGCTTAGCCCTGGGTTTGGCTGGTCATTGACGCTCAGCCAGTTGCTACCCCTGTCCTGCTTGTCTCACTGCAGAGGGCACAGAGAGGAAGCCCTCTGCTCAAGGTCACCCAGCTGGTGGTCAGGAGGTGGGACGTGAGCCCAGGCCTGGCAGACCTGTGCCGTCACCACCAGGTAGCCTGGCCCTAAGTCTGATCTGGGCATAGGCAGGACATGATGAGCCTTGAGCGTGCCCGAGGCCTGGCCCCTGGCTCCCTTGCCTCACCCTGCAGCAGCCTGAATGGAGCAGACAGAAAGCCAGAGCGCAGCAGAGCAGGAGGATTGGGCTCAGGCCTCCTGGGACAGACAGTCCCTGTGGGCTCAGGCCACCCAAAGTGCAGGCTGGGACCTGCAGGGCCAGAAGAGCGCATCTCCATTTCCAGGTCCCCAGCCCTCTCTGCCCCGCCCGAGGAGGGGCCGTGCCCCCTTCCCCTGAAGGCAGACAGCCTCCCTGTGTACAGGCTGAGGGTCAGGGCCCCTGGCACCCCTGTCTCACAGGGCACGAAACCAGGGTGACTTGCCCACGGTGCCATAGGCCATCCGTGACCAAGCCAGGATCAGCACGAGGTGCGTCTGCCTCCGCGCTGGCCCCGCACGGGCCTCGTGGCTGGCTGCCGTGGGCCAGGGTGTAACCTGGGCTGGGGGTCCCTCCCTGCAGAGGCCCCGACGAGGATGGGGAGGAGGCGGCCCCAGGGCCGAGGCAGACACACGACAGCCTCTACCGTGTGCACATGCCCAGTCTGTACAGCTGTGGGAGTAGCTACGGCAGTGAGACCAGCCTCCCAGCCGCGGCCCACACCGTCAGCAACGCCCCGGTCACCGAGTACATGTGAGCTGTGCCCTGAGCTGGGGGGGGAGCGGGGGGGCTCAAGACCGCGGGGTCACGCTAGAGAGCGCTCCCCACCCCCTGGTGCTGCCGGGGCTGCCAGTGCGGTCGTCCAGGCAAACCCGGGTCGTGGCCCCAGTAAGGCCGCTCTGTCAGAGGGAGGCTCTGTCTAGGGTGCAGGGATGCCGTGGCTGGGGGTGGGGGTGGGCTGCGTGCAGGCCGGTGATGAGGAGGCCCGGGGCCGGAGGTGGGTGGCAGAGCGGAGGGGGGCTGCCTGGCCCCGGAGCGGCCTTGGACGGGCGCTGGGCCTGCCGAGGCTGGCCGCCACTCACGGCCCTCTCTCCTCACTGTGCAGGAGCCAGAATGCCAACTTCCAGAACCCCCGCTGTGAGAACACCCCCCTCATCGGGCGCGAGTCCCCGCCGCCCTCAGTAAGTCTCAGGCCTGGGGGGAGGCGGGGCGGCTGTGAGCCTCCAGCGCCGGGGTGAGGGCTCTCCCCAGCCGGGGCTCTCCGGTGGGCATCTGGCCCGAGGACACAGTGCCGAGTGGGCCCACAGGCTGGCCTGGAGGTAACCTGGGGCCCCAGTGGGCAGCCGGGGGCCAGTGGCCCGGTGGGTCAGCGGGAGTCCAAGGGGCCCTGGCTTCTCCTTTCCCAGTCTGGTCCACTCTCCTTTCATTTCCGTCATCGGCTTCCTGAGCTCAACCCAGGACTCAGCCTCGGGCTCTTCCAGCCGCTGTCCCTTCCGGCCTCAGGGATGAGACAGAAAAGAGGGGACAGAGCAGTTTGGTGCCAAAGAGAAGGAGCTTGCTGACTGACAGGGGCCCCGGTGGCCTTCCTGGAGGTGGTGGCCTGCAAAGGACAGGGCCAGAGAAGCCGAGGGCCACTTGCCTTGAGAACTGTGTGCCTGGGCAGGAGCCCTGCGGTGCCCTAGGCCCGGCCCAGTGTCAGTGTGGGCACACAAGCCATCCGTCATGCCCCAGCGGCTCCGTGCTCCAGCCCCCTGCAGCCTGGCGTTCAGGCGGCTCTCTCTCTCTCTCTCTCTCTCTCTCCCCTGCGCCCCGCCCCCACCCCGGGCCCTCCTAGCGCTATCTGGCGGCCCTGGACTCTGACAGCCATGCAGGCTGGCAGTTTAAGCCCATGGATAGTGCCCGAACGCTGTGGTGGCCGTGCCCTCAGAGTGACAGGTACTGACCCCCCAGGTGGCCCGCCCTGCACCACCTGCCCACCGTGCCTCTGTAGCTCATGCTCTCCGCTCACGGCTGCCCCCTCACCAGGGCCGGCTTTGGGGCTCTCTCAGCTCGGCCCCTGCTGGCCAGCTCTGGGTCCTCACAAGCCTGTAGACTTGTCAGCCCCCGGCCCAGCCAGAGCCCTTGTGCTGGCCTTGGGCCCGCGACCCTCCCCTCAGGGGCAGTGAGCCCCTTCCCCACTCCTGGCCCAGCTGCAGGCCGTCCCAGTCGGCCTTGTCACCTCCCAGCAAGGAGACCATCTCTGCAGGCCCGAGGGTGTGCCTGCGCCTGGTGCCTAGGCTCGGTGAGCTCGCTCCCTGGGGTGTGGCCAGCAGGCCCGGCCCTTGAGGTGTCACCCTGCATGTTTGGAAGTGCACACAGGTGCATGCAGGCAAGCCGTCCCCCACGTCTGCGCGTGCCTGCTTGGGTTCCTTCAGGGTCTGGGGTGCTGCCCCCGCCCCCTGCTGCATGTCCGTGGAATGACATGGCTCCCGGGTGCCACAGCGCCTCCTCCCCACAGCGTCTTGGCCGCCTGACCTGGCACTCACGACCTTCTCCCCGCACCCCAGGACTTCCAGGAGGGCTGTCGGGGCCCGGGAACAGTGTCCTTCCTCATCTGGGGGTGGCGGTGTGGGGACTCGGGTGTGGGGTCGGCCTGCCACGCTCCCCACCTCTGTGGCGATGCTTGGCACACGCCTCGGCCTTTGTTCACACCCCCTCGTAGCACACGCCTCCTCCATGTGTGTGCCTCACGAGGACACCTGCACACCCGTGTGCACCAAGCGCCTCGTGCTTCGGGTGGGATGAGGGTAGAGGAGGGTGTGCCGTCCGTGCCCTTCTCCCCGCTGCCGCCATCCCTGCGTCCGGGAGCCGGGAGGAGCCCACACTTTGTTCCCGACCTGAGCAGGCGGCAGCATCCCCCAGCCTGAGGGGCCTGTGGGACTTTTGGAGGCCCCCCCCCCGCCCCGTCCTCCCCAGGGTCTGGGGCAGAGTGGCCATGGGGCCTCCTCGTTCCCGGGGCCTGTGGGCCATCAGGGACCCCCTGACCTTTTCTCGAACCCAGCCTGATTCCGCCTTTGCACGATGCTCTCCTCCTGGCTCCTCGATCAGGATCCCGCGGCGGGAGGAAGCCTCCCCGCGTCCCCTGAGCCCAGCCCTTGAGGGCAGCCTGCGTGTGGCCTGTAGGTCCTGGGCACGTGGGGTGCAGCTGGGGAGCCTCCAAATGCTGGCCCTTTGTAGGGCAGAGCTCTGCCTGGCCCGGTGCCCAAGTGCCTGAGCGCGCTCCCGTCCCTGGGAGAGGCGGCTGGTCCCCATCCTGAGCCTGGGGCGCGGGGGCCGGCCCTCTGCTCATGGAGCCCCTCCACTGGGGCCCCACCAACCGTGCCACCGCCGCCCCGTCCTGCCCGCAGGGGTGCTTCCGGCTCACCTCGCCAGGGCCCGCATGGCCGCGCCCAGCGCCCCCACTGACCCCCTCTCCCCCCCTGTCTCCCTCCAGTACACCTCCAGCATGAGAGCCAAATACCTCGCCACCAGCCAGCCTCGCCCCGACTCCAGCGGCAGCGGCCACTAGACAGCCCCGGCCGGCCACCCGCCCACGTGCCAATCGCCCTACCCCTCCCCGTGCCAGCACTGCCGCTCCCACCCGTGACCACCCGCCGGACACTCTGCACGCCCGCCAGGCCCGCTGCAGGCACCCTCGCCCCTGCCCTCCCCTTCCTGTTGGGGCTCCCCTTGGGTCACGCACCTGGACACGGGAGCGGTTCCACCAACACGGGGCCCCCCAGCACCCCCGACGCCCCTCTGCCTCTGAGGAGGGGGTTTCGCAGAGCCCCGCTGTGGGCCGGACTCGGTGCTGTGTCCCTGATGCTTACTCCACAGCAGGCCGACCCATGGACCCGTCTTGTCCTCCGCTCGCGCCCAGCCTGCTCTCTCCTGCCCGCAGCCCCGATGGCTCGCCCGCGCCCTCCAGGCTTCCCCGCGTCACTTCTTGCATTCACAGGCCGTGCAGCGCCCGCTCTGGGCCGGGCAGCTGGAGGGGCCTCGGCACGCGTGCGCTCACCGCTAGGCTCCTGCACAGAAAGTTCCTGGGGAGCTCCTTCTCTCAGTCCACCTGACCACAGGCCCCCTCCTGCCGGTTGCCAGAAGCCTCCTGCCCAGCACCGCTCTCTCCCCCAGCACCTACTCTGCCCGTGGAGCCCAGCCCTGCACGGCGGCAGGGGGACGGCAAGTGCCGCGCCGAGCCCAGGCTGCTCACCCAGTGCTGGCCGCCTTCTTGGTGCCAAACCCCCTCCCCCGCCCCAAGACTTGGCAGCTCGTCTGGTTCATTTTTGCACTAACCACATTTGTCATCCTAGGGCAGGCGGGGCTGCCGGCCGAGCAGCACACTCCCCTTCTCGGTTCCCTCTCTGTCCAGGACAGGCACACGTCCCGAGCCCGGCCGGGGGCTGGACCCGAGCTGGCTGTGAATGTGCCCTCGGCCCCTGCGGCGCCCCCTTGGGACTAACCACTAACCTCACCCAGCCTCCGCGGGCACCCCTGGCCGACCCAGAGCCAACAAGTCTCACCCGAAGTCCAGGCCAGAGATGAGGCCTAGGCCGGCCGGCTGGGAATCAGGCTGGAGTAGCCGTTTCTTCTTGGGGTGCTGCTGGGGAAGGGCTATAGACCGACAGGCAGCCTGAGAGCCTGCAGACCTGTCCCTGGGCAGGTGCTGCCCCAGACGACTGTGTCCTCGGGAACGAATGTCCCTTGGGCTGTAGGACTGAGGTCCGTGCGGCCTCAGTCTCCCTACCTGTGAAGTGGGAACAAGGCTTCCCTAAGGTGCTTTGGCTTTAGTGTACAATGTTTGCTGTGTTTCCTGCCGTGGAGGGTGTGCCACCCCCAGATCGGGATGGGAAGGAAGCCCCCTGCCAGTCTCAGCCCTGGCCTGGCCACCCTGCAACAGAGGGTCAGGCCAGGGGCTACAGAGCATCGGGCAGCAGCCGCGTGGGAGGGCCCGGGCCGGGGTCCTGCAGCGGAAGGCAGGTAGCCGACCAAGCCACGTTCGGCGTGTGGGCTCTTCCTTCCAGAGCGGGGGCGGTGCCCTTCCCTGGGACAGGCCTGGGGAGATGCTGCCCACCCTTTCTCCACAATCCTTTCTCTGTGCTGGTGTCTGGGACCAAAAGGGCAGGTGGGCTGGGGGCCAGGCCACATCTGCCCGGCTTCTGGGGTCGCCTCTGCCCCGGGAAAGGAGGGGAGTGAGCAGGCAAACACCGGGGTGCCCCAGGTGGGCCCCGGGGCCCTGAGCCTGGCCAAACCTCACTGCAGGGCCCCGTGTGCTCTAGGCCCCGCCTGGCCGTCATTCTGGGCCCCCACAGCCGACCTGCCCAGTTTTTCCTCTGGGCTCCTCCAGTGGCGAGAGCGGCCCCGGCCCAGTGTCAGGAGGGAGGCCCCAGCCGTCCTGCCTGGGTGCCTGCCGTGCGCTCAGCCACTGCTCAGAAGCACAAGCAGCCGCCCGCGGCCCTGGGAGGCCGCCCGCAATGTGAATGTACATAGCATGAGAGGCCGGCGCCGCCGGACGGGCTGTGGACCTCGGCTGTCTTGCGAGTTCCCACCGTGCGCGCGCGCGTGCGCGTGCCCCGTCTGTGACTGCATCGAGCTCCTTCTACTCACCGAGGTTGAATAAAGGAAAAGGAGAATCATCCAAAGGGGTTCAAACCCCAGCCTCAGTCTGTGGAGGGGAGCAGGTCCTGCCATTGGTTTTCTTTCTGTTCTAAGTTTTCAGGGTCCCCTTCCTAACCACCACCCATCCCAGTGACCTCTCCACATCCCTTCCCGGCCTTGCTCCCCACAGGCCCTGCAGCATCTGGGGGGGGCGGTGCGGCCCTTGACAAAGTGGGTGGCTGGTGGGAGGGAGGAGCCTTGAAGCCCCACAGGGTCCAGCTGGCCCCCGGGGCCCTGCCAGGCTGGGCCAGCAGGAGGTGGGGTCCAGCTGGGACATCTGGCCCACGGGGCTCCCCTGCCATGCCCACCCACCCCATCTCACTATGCAATTCCAGCCCAAGCACCATTCCCTACCTATCCGGGACCCCTGCCCAGCCCCCGGGGGGTGGGTAGCCTCCCTGGGCTCCAGCCGGGGGGCGGGCAGGGGCCAGGGCCTTCTGTGTGGGACTTTTTGTTTAACCATAATGGTTGTGCGCTGTGCCACTTTGTTATATATAACATATCGCTCAATATAATTTTGTTAAGACTCCGACCCTCCCAGTTCCCCTCCTGGCCCTCGCCCCCTCCCTGCCCCCGTGTGATTTAGGGCCCTGAGCGGGAAGGGGGAACTGGGGCCCGAACCACTCAGCATCTTCCTCCGGCACCTTCCTCCAACCTCCGTAGGGCCATGGCTGTCTGTGCTGTCGCTGTGGTTTTTTATTTTTGTTTTTGTTTTTTAACTGGGTTTGGGGTTTGATTTTTATTTCTTTGGGGGCTTTATTTTTCTTGGCAGATAACTAAAAATCTCGTCAATGTAATTTCTGTGGTTTCTATTCAGCTTGGGTTTCATGTTTTAAAATAAACAAATTTTAAAAAACAGGGCTCTTTCTCCGAGTTGATTTGGCTCTTACCCGAGTGTGTGGGCAGTGTGGTCGCGTGCTGGGGAGCCAAGGGGGGGGGTGGGGGGCAGCCCAGTTCGCAGCAGGAGGGGGTGGGGCTAGGAGCGGGGAGCCGACCCCGGAGTGGGGGAGTGGGTTGCCGGAGGGGCCGGAGCGCTTGTCTTGACATCCCAAAAGCCTCACTTTGCAGGCTGGACATGCCCTGGGGCGGCTCAGGGTGCCTGCGCGGAGTGCCCTCCGGCCACCTGGGGACGGGACAGGTCTGGAGTGGAGGGGGCCACGTGGGAGCAATGGTGGGTGCCCGGGAGGGGCATTTCCTGAGCCCCACTGTGGGGGCATCTCCAGTCCCTGGCCTCCCCGGAGCCCTTCCCCCCCCCCAGGGGGGATGGTGGTGGGAAAAGGAGGAAAGGAGCCCCGGTGTGCGCTCGGAGGCCAGCAGGGACCCACCTGCCTCCAATCACGCACCCAATTGCCCACCCAAAGCCAAGACACAGGTGTCTCCTTGCCCAGCAACAGCCCAGCCAATGAGAAGCCGCCACCCGGGTCTCCTCCAATGGGCTCCTGTCCAGAGCAGCCCCGCCTCCCCTTCCCGCTATAGAGGCAGGCTCCGCCCCTTTACTCTCGTGGCGTTTGTGCGTCGAGTGCAGGTGGGGGCTCCGAATTGCGGCGCCCGTTCCCAGGGAAGCTCGTTTTGCCCCCGAGATAACTGGCGGCTTTGTTTTGAAGGTTAACAGTCATTCTTGTTCTCATCTGAGAAGTGGGCCCCGGAAGGTGCACATACTGCAGCGCGGAGCCCTGGAGCGTTGCTGGGGAGCTCACTTTCCGCACAGGGGGCTCAGAGCCCCATGGAACTAGGGGGAGGCGCCCTTTGACCAGGAAAGCCTTGGTCTCCCGTGCCTGGGGCGCAGGTGGGCGAGGCACCTGCAAGGCCCAGTGGAAGACCCCCCAGGCTCTCCGGTGGCATTGCTGTGAGTGTGGGGGTGGGCAGGGGCGTGCTGGGGTTCCCCAGTCCCCGATTTGATCCGTGGGGGGAGGGGAAGGGGGACCAGAAGTGGTCAGCTCTGAAGAGGGGTGGACGCATTGGAAGCTTCTGAGGTGCCGTGTGGTAAGGAGAGTGAACTGGGGACATGGGGCCAAGGAACCCAAAACGCAGGAGAGCCCAGGCACTTCCTGCCCCTCTTGGACCTCAGTTTCCCTGTATGTCAGGGAGGGCACAGTGACATCCTGGTTCTCCAAGCGGCCACCTTCCGTGGTTCACAGCCCCTCCATCTTGTAAGCCAGCAGTGGAGCACCTTTGGGTCCCTCGGTCTGACCCTGACTCTCCTGCCTCCCTCTCCCAAGGACCTCTGTGATTGCATTGGAACCACCTGGATAGTTCAGGATAATAATCTCCTCGTCTCGAGGTTCTTAACTACGAAGTTCCCTTTGCCATGAAGGTAACATATTCATCGGTTAGGGAGATGATGTGGACATCTTTGGGGGCTACTCTTCTGCCCCACAGGGGAAGCTGGTCTTGAGGATATCTGGGCAGAGAACAGCCCGTGCAAAGGTCCTGAGGCAGATTCACGCCTGGTGTGTTCGTGCGTCGAGTGCAGGTGGGGGCTCCGAATTGCGGCGCCCGTTCCCAGGGAAGCTCGTTTTGCCCCCGAGATAACTGGCCACGGTGCAGGCCAGAGCTGAGGGCAGCCCAGGCAGGGTGCTGGCCAGCCGAGCAGTGGTGGGAAAGCCCAGGGTTCTGGAAGGAACACCAACAGTACTTTCTGGCACACTGTGGGCGGGGGGGGTGGGTGTGAGGTTTGGACGGAGCTGTGGCAGGTGGGGGTCTGTGGTGTCAAACGGAGATGCGCAGCTGGGGAGGAAGCAGGTTTGTGACCAGGGGGTCAGTGGTCCACTTTTGGACATGTTGAGCCTAAGATGTCTATTGGGTCCCCCCGGGGAGATGTGGAGAGCAGGGGAACAGTGAATTGTGGGGGGGGGGGTTGGGGGAGAGCACCGGGCGGCGACGGTCAGCTGGAGTGTTTGTCTTGGGTACTGTGTTGAAAGCCACGAGCCAGGGTGACGTCCCCCAGGGAATGGGTGCCAAAGAGGAGACAGCAGAGCCCGTGTTTGAGGTTGGGAGTGGGGAGGAGCGAGGCAGGGAGAGTCCAGGACAGGGGGCATCCTGAGAGCCGCACAAAGACGGTGTGGAGGGGAGACAAGGGACCATGTCACGTGCTGCCGATGGCCAGGTTCCACGAGCACAGGAAGTGACCGTGCGTTCAGCCACCTGGACACCACTGGAGTCTTGGACAAGAGCAGGTGTGATGAAGTCTGATGGCTGGCTCGGGAGAGCCTGGGGAAGGTCACGGGGATAGCTCATCAGTGGAGTGGCCTTCCTGAGTCACCAAGAAGGGTGGGACCCAAGTCCATAGACAGGAGTGTGGCCCCCCTGCTGGCCTAGTGGTCAGAGCATTTGGGCAGCGGGTGGGGGGGCTGGGGGGTCTCATGAAGTAGGGAGGCCAGAGGAAGTGGTGGGGGCTGGGGGCAAAGAAGGTACAGCCCCCCCCCCACCCTGGGGCTGTGGGAGAGCCAGAGAGGAGGGACAGAGCGGGGACAGGAGATCCCCCAAGGGCCCGAGGCTCCATCTGGAACTCAGGGTGAGACTCCCCGGAGGGCAGTGTTTGCGTCCAGCTGAGCAGGTGCGGAGGGCAGGTGCAGGAGGTCAGACACCAGAGGCTTGGCTGAGAGAGGGTGCGGAAGCAGGAGGCCAAGGGAGGTGACAGTGCGTTCACGGGCCTGAGTGGAGCCGGGACTTCAAGCAGGGTAGGACGAGCCCCTGAGGTGTGAGGGGCTGGGGGTCCAGCAGGGTCAGGAAATGGGAGGGAGGGAGCTGGACCGACAAGAGGTGGAGGCAGAGTGGGGTCGCAGGGCAGGCAAGGTCTGGGGAGTGACGCAGGAATGGACGCAGGAGCAGGTGGGAGAGAGAGCCTGTGTGAGCCAGGAGCCAACATTTTCCGGAAGGAGGGGCCTGCGGCTCCCCACAGTGGGCGGCAGGCGTGGTGATCCCACCGCCGGGAGGCCAGGAACGAGGGTCTGTCGGTGGTGGAAAGAGCATCTCTCCAGGAGTGAGCCAGGCATGTCCAGCAGGGGGCGCTGGGCCCTCAGAGGACGGGAGACCGCAGGGGGACCCGTCCAGGAGCTCGGAACATTCTGCCTTCCCTGCCAGTCCCCCTGACCACGGCGCGGCGGGTCTGGGGCTCACCGTGGCTCTGCTCAGGGGACGACCCAAAGATCCCGCCAGGACGGGCCACAAGGACATGCAGCGACCAGCCCCGCATCAGAGCCAGGGCGCCGGACGGCTGCCGGGGTGGCTGGCTGGAGCTTGCCTCTTGGCCTTACACGCACTACACGAACCACATACTGGTAAGAACTTCCAGGTTCGTGATGTGAACTTCGAAGGGCAAGGATGGGGTGTGCCCCGGGGTTGCTGGGGGGTCCTGGGGAAGGTGGGTTTGGGCAGGGAGAGAAACCACCAGCTCTCACCACCAGCTGGTACCCAAGGACCGAGGTGGATTGCACCCTGAGGCTGGGGGTCCCAGAAGCCTGCCCGGGGCCAGTAGGGGGCACGTGGAGGGGGGTAGCACAGCTCTCAGCCCTAACTCAGTATGCTGACAGAACCTCGACCACCGCAAGGGGGCTCAGACAGGAGCCCCCCCCCCCCCCCCAGGCCCCTGGGTTCCTCCTAGTGATGGACCAAGTGCCGGGCTCAGAAAGGGCTTGGGAAGCGGTCACCCCCAAGAACGTTCGGCCAGGCCGGGGCTGGGGCGGGCAGCAGCTGGACGGGCCAGTTGGTCTGACAGAAAGATGGGGCTGGCTCTGGTCATCCCCCGACCCCCAGCCCAGGCCCAGGAGGGGCGGGACTGGCTGAAGCCCCCAGCAGGGAAAGGAGCCTTACCGGCGACCCAGTCCACTGCCCGTCCTCCCTCCCAGCCTTCCAGGCATCCTGAGCAGTTCCCCCTCCGCACCTCTGCTGGGCTGTGCCGAGACCCCGATGGCCACCTCTCCCACCCCACCTCCGGAAAGCCCTCCTTTCCGTCACGGCTCAGACGCACCTCTGGGGCCAGGGGGCTGGGATGGCCCCAGGTGAAGTGTTTAAACTGAGCAGGGAAGGGCCCCACCCACACCCCTCGGCCCCTCCCGGACCTGGACCACAGAAGCCGAGGGGTGGAGGGGCACCCAGCAGCCCTCATGGTTGCAGTGTTATCTTGCAAACCCACAAATGACGGGCAGTTTGGGGGAGAGCAGGACACTCCTCAGTCCTGCCCTGGGGGAGAGCGAGGTCAACGCTTTTCCTGTGTGACTCATCTTGGGGGAGGGCCCCTTCCTCACACCCCTGAGGGCAGCAGATGGGAGAAATCTGCCCCTGCTGGACCTGCTTCCCCTTCGGAAGAGGAACCAACCTCCCCCCTCCCCCCCAGCTTTTCCTTGAGAAGAGGGAAGGGCCCCAGGGCTTGAGCCCCCCCTGGCTGGCTCCCAGCCCCCGGAGCACTTTTATCCCCCGTTCTCAGATGAAGGCCTCAGCTCCCAGGGCCTCCTCCCCACACAGGACAGTTTGGACCAGCTGTGACGACCACGTGACCAGGTACGTCCCCAGCTCTGGAGCAGGCTCCACGTGTCCCCGCGAGGGCTGCATGGCCACGTGTGTCCCAGGGCCCCGCCAGCTCTGCCAGTGGCTGGGCCCCTCTGACTCCCCCCGGGGTGTGGGGGGCAGGAAGGAGGCCCTTGGCATCTGCCCGCAGGTGGTTGCCCCCCAAAACCTGAGCAGCCCCCTTTCCTCAGCATGTCCGCGAGAGTACCCTCCGGACAGGGAGCAGGCTGTGATGCTGAGGTCCCCTCATGCCCCCCCCCCCGTCCCTGTCCCAGTCACTGCCCACACCCCCGGGACAGCTGCCCCTCCAGCCCTTCTGCAAACCCCACTCCACTGACTCAGGGCTCCACAAAGCCAAGGTGGGGTCAGGCCCTGGCCAGTTGCCCCCAGGCCCGAGGAGCCGCCAGCAAGCCTTGTGAGGAGGGGGGGGGGCCCTCCTGGGCCACATGCTGCACGTGGGGGTGCTCGGTGAGCATGGGGTTACTGGCCTGGGACTGACATCGGCAGGTCAGGGGTGGGGACAGGAGGCGCTTTGCAAACACTTGTCTTTATTCTGACATGTTGAGAAGGTTAACCGTGGAGCAGAGCGGCCAACGTGGAGGGCCCGGGGGGCAGTGGGGGCTCCGTGTGAGGAAGAGGGAGTGCCCCCCCCCACCCCCCGCAAGGCTGCATGTGACGAAGAGCGAGCCGCAGGGAGCGGGCAGAAAACAAGGTCAGTGTGAATGCTCGTCCAGCCTCCGTCCGGCTGGCCTGGGGGCCCAGCCCCGGGACCAGTCCGGGCATGGAGCCCCTTCACAGAGGCGAGGTTGAGTGTGGGGTCCCCGGCCCAAGGGGCGGCCAGGATCCAAGACCACCAGGCCTCTGAGTTTGAGCTCTTTACCACCCCTGCCCGCTCAGCTGCCTGACCTTGGCTGTCACTGGCCCTGAGCCTTAGTTTTGCCATCTGCAAAATGGGACAAGAATATGGCCTCTTGTGGGTTTGGGATGGGGATGAAGCCAGATAAGGAGGTTCCAGGCTGGGCCCCCGCGAGCCCCCTCCTTCCTCCAGGGAAGGCTAGGCCCACACAGGCCAGAGCTACAGAGCCTACAGGCTGCCCCTCTGGGTGAGACCTGCCGATCCAGCCACCCCACGACCCCTTCCATGGGGCCCTGGGCTGGCCGCGCCTCTCCGGCACCTCGGGAATCTCTTCTAGCCACCTCCTCCGCAGGAGCGCAAACAAGCCCCCAGGCCCCCTGGAGCCCCTCCGACAGACCTGTGACAGACCTGTGTCTCTGGCCCAACTTCCAGCAAGACCAGGACCCCCCCGGGGTTGCCCCAAAGAGCACCTTTATTCACGGCAAAGGACGTCACCATAGCAACCACACTTCAATTCCCTGAGAACTTTTCCATTATCATTCACTTTCCTAGCTATGTCTTGGCAGAAAGAAAAACAGAAGACAACACACCCCACGGGCCTGGTGGGCCAAGCTGGGCCTGCGGGAGACAGGCCCTGTGCAGGACGGGGCGCGGGCAGTCCGGAGGCCGGGACATATAAATACATGGAGTGGCAGACATTTTCCTCCGTTTAAACAACAAAGATTATCTCAAGTTTGGCTTCTGCTTTTTCTGATCCACAGAAAAGATAAAATAACCCCCCCACCCCACCCCCAATAAAACCCCACAAACACCCTACCTTTTACCCACCCCCTTATGATAAACAAGCACAGTAAAAAAATACTGTCACAAATATTTACAGGCACGCCCACTATGGGCGACGTTCTCTCGACTTCGGAGAGGAGATAAAATGCTCAGCTCTGTCTCCCCAGCACGGGGAGACAAAGAGACGTCGGTGAGGGAGGGCTGGGAGGGGAGCCCCTGTTCCCCTAGCCACACGGCCACTAGGGGCTTCCGGGGTGTGTGTGTGGGGGGGTGCCGAACCAGGTGCTGGCTGCTAGTCCTCTAAGTCCAGAGCTCAGCGGGAGAAGGGGGCTCGGGCCGCTCCTCCCAAACCCAGCTTCCTTGGACTGAGCCTGGCTCAGCTGTGCTGGGGGCTCTGAGGCCCCCCCCCAGCACAGGGCCTGCACCCAACAGGGAGGGAAAGGCACCTGCATATCCCTGCAGAGCAGCCCCTGATCCCCACGCTGCCGAAAGACCCCCGCAGTAATAAGAAAACTGCCCTCAGAGTGACCTCTGATACACATCCTCTGGGATGGGGCTCTGGAGCCCGCGGCCCCACGGGGCAGACAAGTGGCCCTTGTGCTTGCTTCTCGGCAGAACAGCACTGCCCAGCAGCCTGCTCCATGGACGGGCGCGCATGCGCGCACACACACACGTAGGCACAGCCCTGGGGGAGCCTCGAATGCCAAGGCCAGGGCGGCACAACACAGGTCCCCGGGCCCTTTGGATACCAGGGGCGCCCGAGGACAGGGTCTCAACCACGGCTGCTAGAAGACGGTGCTGTGGGGACACCACGGTGTGTCCGGGTACAGGTGGCAGTGGATGGAGCGGAACCTGTGGGGACAGAGTAGGGGCAGGTCTGTGGGGGGGGGGCGGGCAAAGGGTGCTGAGCACCTATCTTCAGACCCACAGCAGCAGAGGGGCCCTGGTCCACCCTGAGCAAGGCTCCTGGGGGGCTGTAGTCCTGCTGTTTCAGCATACCAGTCCCAGCAGACCCCCCCCAGGGCACCCCTCCAGCCCCAGCAGTTGCCCCAGCAGACACCCCCCCAGCCCAAGCAGACCTCTAGGGTGCCCCAGCAGACCCCCCCCAGAGAACCCCTCCAGCCCCAGCAGGCCCCCCCAGGCACCCTTCTGGCCCTAGCAGATACCCCAGGGTGCCCCCCTGCCCCAGCAGACACCCCAGCAGATGCCCCAGGGTACCTCTCCAGCCCCAGCAGACCCCCTCAGGGCACCCCTCCAGCCCCAGCAGACCCCCTCAGGGCACCCCTCCAGCCCCAGCAGACCCTCCCCCGAGAACCCCTCTAGCCCCAGCAGACTCCCAACGTAAGGCCCAGCCTCTATTTGGACCTGCTTCCTCACCTGGATGGGTCAGCCTCCACCGAGAAAGGCCCCTTCATGTGGACGGCATTCCGCTTACTCTCAAACATGCCGTAGCTGAGGGTCACCTGTGGGGGGGGAAGGGAGGGCCCGGCTGAGACCAGGAGAGGCCCCCATGTCCCCGGCTTTGTCCACGGCTGCCCATTTGGTTCTGTGAGAGGGGATAGCCTTGTCTTCTGCCCTCCCTCGGACCAAGAAGGCAGGCCTGTGAGTCCCATTGTACCACAGCCCACCTGCTCTGCACAACCCAGGAATGAAGTCTAGGGTGGAGGCCTCAGCAAAGGCTAGTGGAATGCCTGGCCAGGGCCAAGAGAACCCCCAAACAGCACAGAGTAGGTGTCCCAGGATTTGAGCAGGGTCCCGCCGGTGGGGGGGGCGGTGGGGGGGGTGTCCGAGGGGCAGCCAACAGTGGGGCCCTTCCTGACTTCCCTGTTTAAATCAGTGACTCCACCCTCCCTCCTCCCACCCTCCCCCCACCATACCACTTTCTTTGGTTGGATTTTCCCTTTCCCTCCTGGGCCTGGGAGGTGCACCTGCTCATGGAGCTCCGAGGCGGGCACCTGCTGCAGGTTCTCCAGGTGGGAGTGGAAGAGCCCGCTGCGGATGAGGGGCACACCCAGCAGGGCCTCCACGATGTAGCCGATGGTGCAGTCATCCGGCAGGCGGATCCGCTCGGCTGTGCTCATGAAATGGCCCCTGCTGCAGGAGGACAGGGCCCGACCCATGAGCAAAGGCGGGAGCTGGAGGCCTACTGGGAGCTCAGTCAGACCCAGCCAGCCAGAACCCAACCGGGGATGAAGAAGCCAGACCCGGGAGGAGAGGAGGGGAACATGCCCCCGGCGGAGCAGGATGTGGGTCAGAACACTGACCAGCTGGCCGGTCAGCAGCTCCGTCCCTCCCAGAGCCCCCGCACAGCACTCTCCTCTGAACTGGCTGGATAACTCTTGAGTCGGAGTTCCCGGGCGAGCAGAGAAAGGAGTCCTGCCCGATGGTAGTGACCAGTGGGGTGCGTGTGGGGTGGGGTCGTGACTCAGCCCACTCGTGCATGTGAGGTTGGGGACACCCGCTGCTGGGAAGGCGTTGGGACCCAGGGCAGGCTCACCCTGGGGCCCAAGGGCACTCACCTGGCCCACGGGCTCATCTTCAGGGCCAGCCCACGGCTGATGCAGAAGCCTGCCCCACCGGTGGCAAACCAGAAGTGGACAGGGCGCTGCGGGAGGGGAGCGTGGTGAGAGACCCTCACCCCGGGCTCCAGGGACCCCTTAGGCGTCCTGGCCACCCAGCTCGGGCCCACGAGGGCGGCGCGCTCACCATCTTGTTCTCGCTGACCCTCTCTGTGGCCTGGATGGGCCTGTCCAGGCTGGGCTTGCCGATGTACACGTCCTGCGTGTGCGGGTAGCCTGCCAGCAGCCGCAGCAAAGCCCTGACGTTGACGTAGTTGTCGTCGTCCACGTGGCAGAACCACCTGCGGAGAAGCCACCGGGAGAGCACGCGCCACGTCAAGGGTGGTGGGCCGCCAGGGCGGGGACCTGCAGGGGACGGGGCGCGCTCCTCGGGACACTCACTTCCTCCCCGATTCGATGAAGTGGTCGTACTCCACCGCCATCTTGCAGGACAGCGCCTGGCGGCTGTGGGCAGCTGAGCAGTTGGTGTTGACCACGTTGCCTGGGAGCAAGGGAGGGGGCTGTAAGCGGGTCTGAGCTGGCTCAGAGAGGTCAGCGACCAACACCCCCGCCTCCCGCCATGAGAGCAGAGCGGAATGGAGCGGGTGACGGTCCTAGGGCGCCCGGGGTTCAAGCTGTGCCCTGTGGCGGCCTCCTCCCGCTGCCCACTCCCCAGCACAGGGCTCACGCCCGGTGATCACGCTCCCCACCCCCCCAGCCCAACCCCCTCTGGGCAACCCCGGCCCGCCCCTGCCCATTCAGGCGGCTTTTTCCCAGCACCGGCCACCTGTTGCCGCCACATCAGCTCAAAGGGCCCTGGGAGCTGAAAGGACCTCATTTGCATGAGAATTGGGTGCCCCCCCCCCAGTGACGGGGCGGGGCATTGAGCAAACCAGTTGAGTAAACTGCTCTCTCTGGCCCGTGGCCTCCGTGACCTCTCCGGAGGGGAGGGAGGAGGGGATAGTTCCTTCCAGGAGTGGAGCACCCCCCCCCCGCCTCCCCAAGTCCAGGGCTCACCCGTGCGCCTGGCCAGGGCTTCATCGTCCCCATCGGTGAAAATGAACGTCTGGAAGGAGAAACGTGGCCTTGAACAGGCGGCTCTGTGTCCCCCAGCCCCGGGCCACTGAGGGGGTGCAGGGCCGGGCACCCTGAGACTTCAGCAGCTACAGCTCAGTCACACCCACTCTCCACCCTTCCGTGGGCCTCAGTTTCCCCACATGCACCCACGTAGGTGGTCTCAAGTGTCCAGCCTAAATAGAAGCGGGGCCGGGACTCCTGCAGACCCGACCCCCCCATGTCGACAGCTGGGCCCAAGGTCGCCCGGCGGCTGTGCCGGCACGAGCCAGGTGGGGCGCCCCGCCCACCCGCCAGGTAACCGGCTCCTAGCCCGCCCCGCACACCTGGCAGGGCACACACCCTTATTGACACAGCGCCCAGACTGCGGGAGGGGGCAGAGGGCTGTCGCGGGGGGGGGGGGGGGGGGGGGGGGGGGGGGGGGGGGGGGGGGGCAGGCGGAGGAGGTCGGCTTTGGGAAGCCAAGTCTCAATCAGTCAGGGACAAAGGCCTCTGCTGGGCGGCTGCCAAGCCCTGGCGGACAAAGGGCCCGGAGGGAGGATGAATCACCAGGCATTGTCCGCCAGCTTTGTCCTGGGCCGCACGGCGAGGGGTGCCGGGCTGGCCTTAACTCGGCCGCGTTAAGCGGGAGTGGCCGCGCTGCCCATTACCATACAGCTGGCCTGGTTAACTGGGCTGGGCTGGGCGAGAGGTCCGCCGGGCAGGGGTGCGGCCACAGCACTGCAGTCCTCGGGGCTGGGCCTTCAAGGCCGGCCCCCCACGCCCCGGCCGGTGTGATTAGCCGGCCAGGTCACCTTCTCTGAGACTAAGAAGGCACCACTGTGCTCTGGAAACTCCGACTGTCAGGAGGGTTGAGGCGGGAAACGGCGGGTGCGCCAGCCTGCAGATCAGTACTCCCCCCGCTCAGGCAAGGAAATCCAGGCTGGCAGACAGGCTTTGCCCAAGGCCACATCAAGGCTCTACCTGGGCCAACACAGCGCCACCCCTGCCAGGATCGCTCCGAGGAAGTGGTGGGGGGGCACCGGGGTGGAGCCAGGAGCTGCCAGCACCCGCCTGGGCCCGTCAGCACACGGGGAGGAATGTTCCTTCCTCTGCCCGGCCCGCCCAGCGCGTGCCGCCCAGCACACCCAGGCCTGGCTGAATGCAAAGTCTGGGGCCTGGTGGGGGCGGGTGCTCTGAGCACAGGAAGCAGGAGACCCCCCCCCCCACCTCCATGCCCACCAGACCTCAGTTTCCTTGTATGGGTCCAAGGGAGGATCTAGCATGTGCAAGCCCAGAGAACAGTACATACCCAGCAACCTGGGAGACCCAGCTGGGGTCCCCACCCTCCTTTGGGCAGCCGCGGCTGCTTGCTGAGCCTGACCCCAGACTGGAGCCCAGACTCAGGTGAAGCCACAGGTGCCGATCACAGGCTTAGAGCTGGGGAAGGAGCAAGCCCCGTGGACACCCTCTCCATACACGCACCCCCTCCTTCCAGAGCCCTGCAGGCACCCCAAGGCAGCCCGCACGCACAGACTCGCACCCAGCCCCCCGCCCACTCCCCAGCATCGCAGCCCAGGAATGCTGTGGGAGGCTGAGGCCGGCCAGTGCAGACGCGCCACTGCCGTCTCCGGATTAAAAGGAAAATGCTTTCTTAATGAGATCAAGCGGGGCCTGTTCTCCCGCGCTCTGGTGGTGCCCTAAAAACCCAGCCCAAGGCTACGGAGATTAAAGTCACCTTTGTTCAGCTGGGGGGAGAGCAAGGCGGGAGGCCTGGAGAGGAGTAAAAGGAGGGTGGGGCTGTGGGGGTGCCAGGCCTCCTGTCCCCCTACATCAGAGCAATCGGCAGAGGAGGGGACACGCCACCTGGCGGTTCAGAGCCTCAGAATCCCCCTCTGTCAAATGGGCACAACAAGAGGTCACCTGTACCCAGAGCGAAGCACGGACACTGACTCCCTTCTTTGGTCTCCCTAACGGCCCTGAGAAGTGGGCACTGTCACTACCTGAGTGGACACGGGACGCTGAGGACCAGAGAGGGGCAGCCGCCCGCCTGTGGTCATATGCTGGGGCAGACGTGGTGCCGGCCTAGCCCCAAGTGCCCCCAAGTGCCTTCCGGGGACTGAGCCCCTCCCCCCTGCCCAGCCAGGCCTCCTCCCCACTTCCCCGACGATGGGGCTGGAGGAGGAAGAGCAGGGCAGCAAGGGCGGCAGGGCTGGCCCAGAGCGGGCGGGGGGACACCCACAGGAAGCGGCATTGTTCCTGGAGCTGCGATTCAAAGAAACACAGGATGCCAAGCTCTCCCCCAGCAATTGTGGCCGCTGTGGTGGCAGCCGCCGCAGCCTGGCCCACTCCTGGGAGGGGTGGGGAAGGGACGTGGGGGCTGAAGGTCCAGCCCCTCATCCTGGACTTTGAGGACTTGTCTCAGTGTGGCCCCTGCTGACCAACCGCCACCCCCCATCACTCCAGTTGCTGGAAGTTTCTTACACATGCTCCACGCTGGTCCTGTCGGTCTAACTCAAATGGCACCTCCTCCAGGAAGTCCTCCAACCCTCCACGTGGGTCAGATGCCCACTCTCAGCTCGCACAGCCTCTCTGGGTTTCCCCCACCAAAGCCCTGACTTCTCTGCGCCTACCCCATCAAACTGGGCTTGATTTACCATGCACAGGACTGGAAGAGGAGGGCCCTGGGTCATGAGAGTTTCAAGGACCCCCTCCCCCACCAGGCGATGTGCAGCCTCTGGCTTGCTGTGACACATGAGCCGATGCTGGGGGCAGATGCGCAGCCTCTCCTGGGTGGGTTCAGCCAGGAAGAAGGAAACCTGAGTGGCCCTTCAACGGGGACCTCAGGGCCCGGGGGGAGTGACGGCCCCCACCCCCGACCCTCGGTAACTGTTGGGCTCATTCCCTCCGCCTCCAGGTTTTGCCAGTCCCCTTCCAGAGATGAGGCGACGGAGGGTCAGAGAGGCCTCAGGTCTTGCCCAAGATTACCCACCTGGGCTGGGACTGGTACCCAAGACCCTTCGACCGCATCCCCTCTGCTGGAGAAAGCCCCCCAAGTCCAAGACGAGAGCTCGGAGCTGGTGGCGGCCCAGCGGGAGCCGAATGCTGCCAAAGGTCACCCATTAGGGAGGCAGGGTCCTGGGGGGTAGGGTGCCCGGCTCAGGGATGGTGCCCCACAAGGGCTGTCAGTCAGGGATGGAGGGGGGGCCCGGCGGCCCTCTCATCACCAAGCAACCTGAGTGGCCAGCACGCCAGTGGCGGTTCCCATGGAGCGCATAGCTGCGCACAAGAGGCCGGACGCCTTTCTCCGTTGGAGAAAGGGGCTTTGTTACCTTGCCCAAGCGGCCGGCGTGAGAGCCGCCGGGCGCTGGGAATCCTAACGGCCCCGCGGCCAAACAAAACCCACGGCCCCCGCCGCCCCCTCCCGCCAGCCCGCTGAGCCCCTGGGAAAGGGGTTGCTGCTTTCCCAGGAGGCTGCCATGGGGCTCCCAGGGCCCCCTCCCCACACTGGAACCAGAAAGAACCCTTCCCCACCCCCACCCCCCGGACCCCATCATGACCTCACCAGAACCCTGTCCCAAAACAGGGCTCAGCCACGCCAGAAGATCCCAGGCCTTGAGATTTAAACAGGGAGGAAGGGGTGTGGGGTCCTCTCTGAGCCCTCACCCCGGTCAAGGGTCCCTCAGCTTCACCCCAAATGCCCACTTAGTCCCTTGAATCTCCCAGCCCACGGCTGCTCCCTCACTACCCCTCCCCTGGCAGAGCCCACAATGCCCTGTCCCGCCCCAACCCAACCGTTCTGCTGCAGCCTCGAGGGAGATTTTCAAAGTGGGGTGTGTCTTTACTATGTGTAGGAAGCCAATGCTCAACTAGGGTGCAGTAAGCACAAAGTTCAAGGCTCCAAAGACTCCTGTGCTCTGGGGACAGGGTCTCTGCACAGACCCCCAAAACCCAGTGCTCTCTTTGTAAATGGATTCTCCAGGGCTCACCAACACATACCCCAACTCCAAATTATCTTTAACAATGACTTGTCCCCCATCCCATAGAAAAGACTCATATGAGAGAGGAGACCAGCCCTATACCGGGGGTTCTAACCCCCTACTCCACCACTCAGGAAAAAGTCTTCCTCCCCAGGGCAGGGTCTGAGCCCAGGTGGATGCCGCACGAAGAATCTGCCTTGGGGAGGTTTGGGGACAACAGCACCTTATTAATGGACTCCAATGCTTGGGGGGGGGCGGGGAGAAACATCACAGAGCACCAACGCCAAGCAATGGCAGCTGGTAGGATCAATTCACACCATCCAGGGCTCTGGAAGTTGGATGGGGTCGGGTCCCCCTCTGACACTTGCACAACTCAACGGGGAGAGTGGCCCCATCAGGCAGACCGGGCTGGAAAGGGATGGACTGGCGTCACTACCCCCACATAGTCCCGGTAGCTGGACAGATGTGTAGCCTGGCGCCCGTCGGATACTGCCACCGGCTGCACAAAACGGCACCCCCTACCCCGCCCAGGCCGTGGGGGCTCACCATCTCCTTGTGGCGTGAGATCCAGGTCTCCAGCAGCAGATCGAGGCGCGCGCGGTGAAACTTTCTGGTGGTCTTGACCGCGATGAAAACGTCGTGGGGCGCCAACGACTCGGCCGGGGGCTGCCGGTGGCCGTCGGCGGGGCGGGGGGCGCCCCCGGGCGGTGGGCGCGCGTCTCTGCGCGCGCGAGTCAATAAGCTGAAGTACTCCGACAGACTGTGCACCTCGCGGGCGAGCTCAGCGGGCGCCGCCGCCGCCGCCGCCGCCTCCAGCCCGGGCGCCGGGGCAGCCCCCGCGGGGCCCGCCAGGCTGCGCAGCGCTCGCCGGCCGCGCTCTGCGGGCACAGGGGGCGGCGGCGGGTCGGCCGTGAGCACCAGCAGGCAGGCGAGCAGCGCGCCCGCCAGCGCCAGCAGCAGGCGTCGGCCGCAGCGCTTGAGCATGGTGGGGTGGCGGCCGCCGGCGCGCCCTGCCCGGTGCGCCCTGCCCTGCCCCGCACACCGGCGCCGAGGATCCCGGGTCCCGCGGCGCGTTCAGCTGTCCACTGCCCGCGCCCCGCGCTCTTAAACCTCCCCGCCGGACTCCGCCCTCTGGGGGGCGTGGTCCTCCGCGAGGCCCCGCCCCTACCGCGCTCTCACTGGCTCCGGGGCCCTGGGGCGGGACCTCGCGCGGGTCGCCCCCCGAGACTCGCAGCGCCCACGTGGGGCCGCAGCGGGGGTCTGGGAAAGGCCCGGCGGGCACTGCCGCCCCCGCCCCCTGTGAGCACGTGCACGCCCCGCCCAGGTCGTCCCCCGCGGGCGGCCGAGGGGCGTGGGGTCTTGGGCCCGGCCCGCCCCGGTGGCCCCGAAGGGGAAGCGAGGCTGGCCAGCGCCGGCGGGGGCCGCATGGGGCGTCTGGCACGCGGAAGGGCGCGCCCTCGGCGCGGTGACCGGGGTTCTGGCACGGGGGCTTCAGGCTCCGCAGTCCTGCGGTGCACTGCCCCTCCCCAAGCCCGGCGTCCTCCCCTTGGGGTGGTGCGTGCCAAGAATAGGGGGCGGCGCCTAAGTGGACCTGAGCGCACCTAAGGCAGCGGTGATTAATGCTGAGGAGGAGTTGAGCCCCCCTCCCCCCCGCCGAGCCACGGGCAGAGACACGTGTTTCCACCGAGAAAGCACCTGTATTAAATTCCACCTTCAGCGCCCTAACCCCCACCCCCGCCCCGAGCTAATTTCCTCGAATTCCAGCCCAGGGGCGGGGGTGCGAAGCCGGTCCCCGAAGTCCTCCGGACGCCCCGTGGCGAGAAGAAACTGAAGTCGCCCCGCCCCTCGCGGGATGAAAGGCTGCTTTCTGTCCCATTTGGTCCCTCTACGCTCAGGCCAGATGTGGCCCAGCTGTGCCCCCGCCCCGCCTCCCCGGCACACGGCGGCCCCCACCCCCAGGCCTTCCCACGGGCCGGGCCGGCCCACCGCACGAGCAGGGGCGGCAGGAATGCGCGCCAGCAGCCGGGGTGAGGGTGAGGGGCGAGGGGCCCGGAAGTGGCCAGGGGGCCCCCTGGCTCGGAATCAGGGTCTGAGCTCCCTGCCCTCAGCATCTTCCGGAAGCGCAGCTGGGGGCGGCTCTCCGCTTGGCTGAGCCTCCTTCCCCTCCCTCTCGGCTCTGGCATCCCTTCCTCAGGAGGCCCTTTGCGACCACCAGGGCCCGGAGGCCCATTTAGCGCTCACTCTGCCCACAGGCCAGTTCTCCTCACAGCCCTTAGCCCTCTGCCTGCAATGGGTCCCCCTTCCTGCACTGAAGGTCAAGTGCAGGAGAACAGGGCGTAGTAGGTGCTCTGTATGGATTTACTGGGTAGATGTCTGCCCTCCGCAAAGGTCAAGTGCAGAACAGGGCTGGAACGTAGTAGGTGCTCTGTAAGGATTTACTGGGTAGATGTCTGCCCAACCCCACTAGGGAGCAGGGAGGCTGTGGCCCATTTGCTCGTAGGGTCCTGGGGCCCTCCTCCAGCCCCTCTGTCATGGGATGTGATGGAGGATAGTGGTTCCCAGGCCTCTTCCTGCTCCCCCCCACCCCAGGTAATTAGCAGGCGCCACCTCAGGCAGGCAGATGCCTGAGCAGATGGTCCTGGCTGTGCCCAAGTGATAAGTCTCCTGTGGTGTCACCTCCTGCCATAAACCCCTCCCCCATCAGCCCAGCCTCGGGGCCTCGAGGCAGCTGGAGGGGTGGGGGTGGGCAGGGGAGAAAAATTCCCTGTGGCTGCATGGGCTGCCCCCAAACAGTAGGCTGAGCCCCAGCCCAGCCTCAAGTCTGAAGTCCCCATGTCCCTTGCCCCCCCACCAACTCCCGTCTATCTCAGATCTGGGCTACTGTGAGAAGGAGTCCCCTCCACCACCTTCATCTCTCCTCTGGACGTCTTGGGCAGTCTCCACCCTGGTCTCCCTGTCGCCCATCTACCTGCTCTGTTTTATTCTGCACTCTGCAACCAGACGGTTCTAATCATACCCCACTCCACACACACACACACACACACACACACACACACACACACACACACACACACACACCAGAATCTTCCATGGCTCCCCATTGCTCTGAGTTCAAATCCTGACCTGGTGTCTACCTATTCCCAGCCCCATTTCTTGCTGAACACTGCAATCCTCCCCATTCCCCAGCAGCCCGAGCACCATTGTGCCCCAAAATCTTTGCATGAGCTGTGCCCCGTACCTGAGATTCAGGTCGGTGGCATCCATACTTGGTACCCCCTAGATGCTGAGTGTTCTCTGAGAGGTCAAGGGGGAGCAGCACACCGCCGTGGTACCCCACACACCCACCTGACAAGGCCCTGCTAAGGACGTGGCACTCCTTGCTTTCCCTGACTTGTGGCCCGGCTCCAGCCTGCCCATTGTACAGAAAGCAAGGTGAAGCTCGGTGCACCGCTGCCTTGCACGCGGGGAGCGAGGAGAGGGAGCACCTGTACAGAGCGGGACCGGTCCATCCTGGCGGGGGGCTTTCCTGCGCCTCTCTGCAGCCAGGCTTGGGGAGTGGGGGGTCCCGGGTGTGGCTGCCCGTCTGGGAACAGCCGGACAAAGCCTTACAGCATTCTTGTGGGGGCCGTGGGCTTTGGCAAGAGTGATTCAGTTTCTTTGCTGTCAGGAGAATGGAATTTCGTGGTGACTCCTTGAGGTCTAAAAACTGTAAGGGGGTGGCCGGCTTAGCTCCCCTCTCCCCCTTCCCCAAGCCTAGGGCACTCTCCTCCCCTGCCCTTGCCCTAGGCCCAAAGGCTCCCCCGACCAGGGACCCACTGAGCCAAAGAGCCAGCCAGCGAGCCCTGGGGGAAGGGGAGGTGCTGGGTTCAGGACAGGAAATGGGGAGCTCAGAGGGGATGGGGAGGGCTGACCAGGTTGCCAGGAAGCTCCTGGGGGGCCTTAGGGTCCTGGGGAAGGGGGCTGGGAGCCCGGGCTGCAGGCAGGCCCCAGCACAGCACAGGGGCTGGGGACCCCTCTGGAGTCAGCCCACCAGCCTTACAAACCCAGAGGGGCCCCTTCTCTGCTCCCAGACCTCGGACCTGGGATGTTCCTGCTCTGAGCCTCAGTTTTCCTCCCGTAGCATGAGGATAACACTGCCGTCCACTTTACAAGGTGCTCATGGGCAAATCGTCACACAAGCAGGCACGTGGGTCTGTGGGGCTTCTGGGCAGCAGATGGCTGAACGGCTTCAGAGCTGTCCATTGAAGGTGTATGGAGAGGTGGCCAAGGAAAGGGGGCCCACATGACCATGAGGCCCTACTCTGCCCCCCCATCAGGCTCGGAGGCAGTATGGTGCCCCTACTTGAGTTCGGGCCTGCTTTTCCTGCCGGGGCTCAGCCTGGGGCCTCTTGTGGATGGAGTCGGTCCTACCAGTTTCTGGAAGCTGCTTCTCCAGAAGCTCCTGGGGACATTGAGGCTGGCTTTGTCTGGACTGTCTCTTTTCTGGGAAGATCCCAGAGACATAACGGGTGACCGGTTAACTCGCAGGAAGTCATCTGAAGCAGGCCTGTTCCACGTCCCCAGAGCAAGCCTTCTCCAACCCAGCGGCCAAGCCCATAGACCGAAGCCTCTGCCTCTATGAGAGCTGATGGCAGGAAAAGCTGGGCCTCGCGGAGCCCCACCGGACAGACAGACATGAGGGTGCCTGCCCCCCACCCCCCACCCCGTGCTGCCTGGAGGGCGTGGGAGGGTACCTGGCAGTAACAGAGCCTTCTAGATGCCAGGGTGCCCGCAAGCCCCCTCGCAGGCAATGAGTGGCCTGGCCACAGAGGCCCCGAAGCTTCTGGACAAAGAGTCCTGCTGGCAAGAGGCGAGGTAACGAAGAGGGCTTGGCTCAGAAGCCCAGTGCAGCCGGCCCCATGGCAGGAGGGAGAGGGTGCAGCCGGCAGCGGCGGCAGCTGATTCCCATTACTGCAGCTGGGGCGGGCGCTGCCCCCACGAGAAGAATAGACAGCCTGCAGCTGTGAATGGAGCCCCCGGCCCAGCCCGCCTGCACGCCCGCTCTGCCCGGAGCCCCTCACCCCCAGGCCACGCTTTGTGTGGTCTTGGGCCAGTTCCCTCTCTCTGTGGAGCTCAGCATTTTACTTGACTTTGTAATAGGGTGTGGCTGCGGCCTGCCCTGCCCTACCCACCCCGGGCTGGTACTCTGCAGGCATGGAGAGCCAATGCCCACTGGTGGCCTGGCCCTTTGGCCTGAACCCCGGGGCCTGGCGTGGTCGGAGTGGCCAGGGCCCTTGGCCTAGGTGGCCGAGTAAGGCTTCAGGGGATACCCTTCAAGGTCAGCTAAGTGCTACCTCTTCCAGGAAGTCCTCCCGAAGCCCCAGTGGTATCCACCCCCACTAGTACTGACCACATGAGATTATAACTGCCCATGTCCTTGCCTGCCTCCCCAGCTAGCCTGGGAGCCCTGTAAGGACAGGGGCCGCATCGTGATCCTCATTGGTGCCTGTCCCAAAGTAGGTGCTCAGTAAACACTGGCTGAACAGATGAGTAAAGGGAATGGACAGATAGATGGAAAGACAAAAAGAGAGAGAGATGTCTATGGATGGCTGGGAAGGTGCTAAGATGCTGGCTACATGAGGGCAGAAACACTGTGTCATTTGGGACTGTGCCCCAGTGCTTAGAAAAGTACATGGCATGTATTAGATACTTGAGAAATATTTGTTAGATCACAGATGGATGGATGGATGGATGGATGGATGGATGGATGTATGTATGAACAGACTGGGTGGGTAGATGAATGGATGAACAGACTGGGTGGGTGGGTAGATGGACAGATGGATGGACGGGTGGGTGGATGGATGGATGGGTGGATGGATGGGTGGGTGGATGGGTGGGTGAACAGATTGGGTGGGTGGATGGATGGATGGATGGATGGATAGGTGAACAGACTGGGTGGATGGATGGATGAACAGACTGGGTGGGTGGAGGGATGGACAGATGGATGGAGGGATGGAGAGATGTAGATATATAGACATACAGAGGCTCGAGGGAACACCCCCTGCCTCTTTCCCCCAAGCACCCAGCCT